GTAATCCATATGGGGGGCGCAGAAAATGTTTGGAAACCACTGGGGGGGCGCAGAAGAAAAAGTTTGGGAACCACTGGGTTAAACCAACCACAGCAAGTCAGTCACTGCACTCCCTATGCATTTTAATGGCAGGCCCCAATGATTGTTTTTATTTTCTCCGACATGATATGACCTCTTTTTAAATCAGGGATTTATTGAAATTTCTGTTCTCTGGTTTTTGCCCTATTATTGTTGTTTTCCTATCAGGAACCATTTTTAGCTTTCCTGTTGTGAAGGGATCAAGGAATTGGTGACATCACAACCTGGGAGAGCAGTCCATGTAATGTAAGTATTTTCCAAATTGCAACGAAGACCAGGTCATTACAGAGTTGTGGCAGTTGGCATATTTAATGCTGTTATCATTACTACATATATAGGCCTGTCATGATAATAAATTTTGCTGGACGATTAATTGTCCCAGAACTTATGTTAAATGGTAACATTGTTGTTTTGAGAACATGTTCAAGTAATATAATAGTAATAATGGCATAAAAATGCGAGAACACGTTCTCAAAGTTCAATAAACTTTAAATTTATTAAACCTTAAAGCATGTTTAAGCGGCCCTCGGCCACAGTTCGATCGACTTTGTCATCGTATCGTCGGATCTGTGGCGGCATGTCTTGGACACTCGTGTGAAGAGAGGTGTGGAGCTGTCCACTGACCACTACCTGGTGGTGAGTTGGCTCCGTTGGTGGGGGAGGATGCCGGTAAGACCTGGCAGGCCTAAATGTGTTGTTAGGGTTTACTGGGAACCTCTGGCGGACTCCCCTTTGAGGCGGAGCTTTAACTCCCATCTCCGGCAGAACTACAAACACGTTCCGGGGGAGGTGGGTGGGTACATTGAGTCTGAGTGGACCATGTTCCGTGCCTCCATTGCCGAGGCAGCTTATCGGAACTGTGGCCACAAGGTTGTTGGTGCTTGTCGCAGCGGCAACCCTCGAACCCATTGGTGAACACCTTCGGTGAGGGATGCTGTCAAGCTGAAGAAGGAGTCCTATTGGGCCTTTTTGGCCTGTGGGACTCCAGAAGCAGTTGATGAGTACCGGCGGGCGAAGCGGCATGCGGCTCGGGTGGTTGCTGAGGCAAAAACTCGGGCGTGGGAGGAGTTTGGAGAGGCCATGGAGAAAGACTTCCGTATGGCTT